ATACAAAATAAAGTGGGTTAGGGAAAAGCATGATAGTTATATAATTGCATTAGAAATAAATGTATATATACTTGCATACTCTTTGCATTAGATAAATATACTGTATATATAGAATTGTAACTGTTTATTGTTCTAATGACATATTATAGTTTATATTTTTTATTACTTTTTTGTTTTATTTTTTCCACTTATGTTTTTAAGCAATTGTTATGTAATTTTTTTTATAATATATGTATTTTTGTGTTTTGTTTTTTCCTGTTCTCTTTTTTGTTATTATTATGAAATTAAGGGGAAAAAATCAGTTGCCAGCGTTACTCAAGGAGTAAATTGTTCTGACGATTGAAGTACTCAATCACTATACCATTTCATCGTGATATTCCATATATATTTCTTATATTTTTCTTTTTTTAATAAAGTTTGCAAATATTAGCTAGACCTGGAACCTACAGTGATGTCCCAGCAGGTACCATTGTTTCTGTGAACATCTCCCTCAGTGACTACCAGGTTCTCCTACATTTAATATTTAAAAATAATTTAAGTTTAAACTTTTTTTTTTAAAAAGCCAGCATAATGCAAAGTACTAGCTTTCAGAAACCTCTTTATTTCCAAGAATGCTAGATTATACATAGGCTTCATAAATTACAATACACTGTTTCTAAATATGCCCAGAAAAAAGAAGATACATAATAATATTGATTTTTTTAATTACAGATTTTAACATTTGAATTTTATGATTGTTTTTATTGTAAGCCATCTAGAATCACTTTATTGTGAGATGGGTGGCTATATAAATGTGGGAATAAATAAACAAACGAATAAATAAATGGAACTGGAATTGATAAAAAGTAATGGCGAGGAGACTAGAGTGTGGTAGCAAACAAACTCACCCGTCTGCATAAACTAGACAAAGCCATGATTTTTACCTTTTCTTTCATATTTTCTTAGTAAAACTAGAATACACAAAAGTATTTTAAAAATCTCCTTGATAGTTATTAAAACTCAGAATATCTGAATATTTCTGCTCGTGCACCCTCACCCCTTCATTTCTTCTTAGAATTATAGAGTAGGAGGAGACTGTTTTGGCTTCCTACCTTCTGCTTCCTGCAGAAATCCAAACAGAAGCATCTCTAACAGATGGCTTCCCAACTTCTGCTTGAACACATCCAGCGAATGGGAGTCAAGCTACCCACCTGAGCAATTGTTTAACATAAATCTGTGATAGGAGATGGAGATACTTAAGAGCATTTGCAAACAGTCATAGGCAATTACACACAGATGATGGAAGACCTGATGAATGATGGAAGACCTCCTTGTTCAACTGATTTTTTTTTTTTTTGTCTTTGTGAAAATTATACCCCTATGTGTTAAATTGTGTTTGTGTGTGCAAAGTTTCCTTGTTATGTAAAGCTCCTGGAAATGGCTATCTAAAAGCATGTCTATAATAAGGTCACTTATCCTACAGAGGAAGAATAGGTTGGAGGGGAAACAGATTTTTTAAAGTTTCCTGTATTTTTTAATGCCTCCCTCTCCCAAAGAGTGATTTCCACACTTTGCACTGATAGGGTTGGGTGCAGATATTTGTGGGCACATAAAAACTGCATGAACATTTAAAGCCCAGGCTTTTCCAAATAGCTGTTGAAAATGCAGCATCTCAGTTTCCAATAAATATTTTTATATATTTGTACAAGTAGACAAAAATGGATAACTACTGGAGATAGAAACCACTAAATCTGCAACCTTAAGAACATGCTAGCCATATTAGGTATGCAAGTCAATTATCCTTAAGAAAGATAACTTTTTCCTATAACTATTTCCCTGAAAAGAACAGGAAGCTTAAATAACCTTCAAATGACAAGAGATTACATTTACCAGAATTCCCAGTCAATTCTACAATACATGACTAAAGAAGCTGTTGGTTACCTGTGCTTTGGAGCTGACACCTATTGGTTCTGTCTTACCATCTCTTTCTACATAGAAATATATAAGTATGTTTTCTCATTTCTGATTTTGAAACTTGGTATGCTTATAACATTAGATGCCACATGAGTGCCAATTTATGGTTAAACCCAAGCATTAAAGCTTCAGAAAAAAAGACTTCTATTAATTCAGAGAACTACCAGCCCTTCTACTGTTGTCATTAAAATAAAATAAAATGAAACAAATGGTTTCTGTTATAAATAGAATGATGATATATTATACAACAACCAATGATGGGAGATACAGTAGAAAGGAGTCTTTGATTTCCCCCCCCCCTTTTATGAGCAACATTCAATGGGGCTACATTGAGATGCTGGAGAACTACAGTGAGTAGTGAGCAGGACAAAAAACAAAAGGATTTCTGTCTCTGTCTTATAGTCTGTGATGCTTTCTTCAGGCTTTCTTCCTGTCAGTGGAGGGACAGGGTTTGTCCTGGTTTCACAGGACATCTGAGTTACTGCTGTAATAAATTGATCAAGCTAATCCTGTGATCATAAATCCAGTCCAACTTCAGTATACAAAAGCAAGTTCATTGGGACAGCAGCATCTAAAGGACTAAACAAGTAGAAAAGTCAGGAGATGAGTCAAAGTCAAATGTTGGAGATGCTAGCTCTAGTCAGACTCGGTTTCCTTCAGTGCTAGCCCTGCCTGATTCAGCCATTTTCCAACATATCTGAGCATTCCTATGCATCATTGTTTTTTTACAGCCAGCAGCATTCTCTAAGACTCAGTGGAGGAGGGTTTTGGTCTAGATCAGAGACTGCCAGATTCAGGGCAGGGATGGTGTGGGGGAGGGGCCAGTTGCTTGCTTGACATAGTTGGGAGGGTGTAGATGTACAGCATCTGATTCTTGTGATGCCTCCTCCTGGTCATCCTCCTTCTTGTCTGATGAGGATTAATGAGACACGATGAGGACAACTGGCTTCTGTCAGAGAATTGAATTAATGCTTACAGGGTACTAAGATGGGGGCTGCAGGTTTCCACTCTCTGGTAGCTGTAGTAGGAAGAATTCTTTAAAAACAATCATAGTCCCCACATAGGATACAGATAGAATTTAACGTGCATGTGCAAGGCTTAAATGATGTAAGTTCTCCTTAAATTTCTTTCACAAGGAAATCTGTTGAAAGTGTCACCTAAAAACAATGAGGAACTAGACTTCTAATATAAAAGAAAATTCTCTCTTAACATTTAAACATAACCTGTTCATAAACATCAGATCATTTTGTTTTTAATCATCATTGTTGCATGAAGAGCTATATGAAAGCCAATACACTGGATAATTTTATTAGGACACAACACTAACTAAACAAAAACAAAATAGTGACTAGTAATGTCTCTCCTATAATTTGACCTCGATTACCTTTCCCAATTCTGTCTTCTCATAGATGTATTGGGATTACAACTGCCAGAATTACAACTTCCTAATTAGGGTGGTGCATTTTTGAAAGTGATTCAGAAAAAATGCTTTAGGCCCTGCAAGAGCATAAACACAGCAGCTCTACTTCTAAATAATTTGAGTGCAGCTTTGTTATTAATACAGTTGGTAGGACCAGTTCCAGGAAAGCCTGTCCTAGATGTATAACAAGAAAAAAAATTCCACCAAATGATATTCTAAATGTAAGTTTAATACTAGAGCATATATTGTAGTTAAGGAACAACAGAGTGCAGTAATTATAAATACTTATCTATCATGAGGACTACAAATACCGCTGAGTTCTTTCAATCTACCCTTTCTCTATTTATCCAGCTGGCCTGATATTGCCTACCATATGCAATTAAATGTCCCAGTGAAACCTCTAAGAGTTATGAGAGCATGAGGAAACATAGATTGGCCTGTTACAACATTCAGCAATTAAAGGCTTGCCTCCCAGTAATTATTGTGAATTATTGAGTTACCGTAGCTAACTTCATCTGTCCAACTCAAGTGGCTAGCATGCAATTCATTGTGTCTGCTACTTAACATACTTCTGCAATCTATTCCTTCCAATCTATTGTTGTAGAACAATTTGAACTGGGGTAAAATAATTATCAGTTTAAGTTCTAATGATGAAGCAAAAGAAATTTTACTCAATGGACTTATGTTATCAGTTGTAAGGAAGTCTTGCCTGGGGCAGTTTGATATTTTGAATGATTGTTCAGGAATAGAGATGGCTGAGAAATTAATTAATTAATTCCTTATTTTAGTGCAAACTTGTGTAACTAGATTCTAAATCAAAGTGTAATTATCTTTTCTATTTATATTTTTCCAAATTTAGCAGAGGAGAGCCAGTTTGGTGTAGTGGTTAATGCATCAGACTAGAAATTGGGAGACCGTGAGTTTTAGTCCTGCCTTAGGCACAAAGCCAGCTGGGTGAGCTTGAGCCAGTCAGTCTCTCTCAGCCCTAGGAAGCAGGCAATGGCAAACCACTTCCAAAAAACCTTGCCAAGAAAATGCAAGGACTAGTCCAGGTAGTCACTAGGAGACAAAAACAGACTCAAAGACACCAAAAAAAAAAAAAAAAA